TGATCTTCCAATCTTGTTGGTACCACCAAGGTTACAGAGATCCTGTTCCAACCGATCGTCGAAAGACAGTAGCCGTCATATAAGTAGAATATTTGAAATTCGTCGCTAGTGGGTTTCAAACCCCCTACTTGGCCAACATATCGCTTGGGGATGTGACAACTTAACCACTTCACTAAGTCACCACACCTTTTGGAAATTATTTATACAAATTTGGAAATCAATAAATAATATATAAATTTCTTTTTGCGTATTCTTGCTTTTTTGTTTTTGACTACAGATCTACAAGTTTTTACTAGATTCAATATAATAGCAATAACAAATATCAATATAGAATAAATAAAGAAAACAATATAGGTTTAACTAGAAAATATCAGTTAAATATTTTTAAAACGAGTATCAAATAGATAATGATAACTATCTTGACTAGATTTCTGTTATATAATTATAAATATTCGTAAATAACAGTCAGACCTTGATATAATCACCAAGTTGGAACAAAAATTTGGTTAAGAAAATACAATGATCCTGATCATACATATTAGTTCAGCCAATTAAAAGTATAAATTTTTATCATGTGAAAAATATCACATATTGATTAGCCAATCAAATCATAAATTTTTATACTAAAATTTAATTAAAAATTTATACATAGCTAAAGTTTACTGTTATATAAGTAAGCAAGCATATACTTATTGGTTTAAATCAGAATTTCAAAAATTCACTTTTCTATTTATAAAGCAAAAAAATTTAATCTGTTTAATTTCAACATATAGTAAATAAATTATTTAAATTTAATAAAAATAAATACAATGCAAGATTTGTAAAGTTAACTACTGATATTAGTACTATAGAATAAACTTTAATATAATAATAGAATATACTAAAGCTATTTATCAATTTTTAACTAGAGAAATACTATAGTATTAGATAATAGTAAAAGCTTTAATATAATAGAATAATAAAATAGTGATACTGTTTTTTATTCAAAATCATTTTATTAAAGTTTTTGGATTTTTTGACTATAGAATTATGGTTAAAAGTATATAAGAAAAAATGAAAATATTGTTTATTTTTTATATTAAAATTATATTAAAGAAAAGTCTACAATTACTATAATAAATTAAAAGACCTAATATATTGCAATACTAAAATAGTTTTAACTATAGTATTTGAAACAAAAAAGAATTAATTCTCAAGAATATTATTTTTGGCTAATAAATAATACAGCTTATATATCTTTAAAGATTAACAGTACAGTTGTTAAGTTTAATTCGTTAACAATATCTAAATCATTTCAGATTTTTTGTAGATTATATACAACCCATATTGCTCTAATAAATTTTGAAAATATGATATTTGAAAAATTAGATACTATTAAAGGATTATTGTTAAAAGAATATTTGTATAATTTATTTTATATTAACTTTTATCTTTATAATATATATAATCTTTTAGATAAAGACAGTTCACTAAATCTAAAATCTAAAATATTGTATAAACTATATAAAACTTTGTTTAACATTGAAATAAGCCAATAACCATTCAACTCTTTTTAACGATCACTTGCACCAAAACCATACCAAAAGCAGTTTGAAGTTTTGAAAACTAAAAGCTTCAAGATATTTGTAGATCCTATTAGATGCTGTTGTTGATGAAAGCAGAACCTCAGACATATAGTACAGGGTCATATGTTATATATTTTAGCAAAAATATCTGAAATTTAAAAATTAAAAAATTAGTTTTTTGCAATTATCTCAGCATCCAATAATTTGGATGAACTTTTTTTAAAATAAAAGCTTTCAGTGAGGCGCATCTAACAAAAAAAGTTTATTCAATTCTAATTACTGAATCAAAGTTATTTAAGAAAATATAGTTTTTTAGTTTTTAGCAAATTTGATCAAATTTAGCCAAAACTTAGTTATGACCTATATCAGAAATACCCAGGGTCTTATGAAGGCTATGTATGTGAAATATCAAGAAGCAGGTATATATATGCTGGTTTGTACTCTGGGTTAAGCTTTTCTTCTTTAGTAATTCCCTTGCTCATTTAGCATCCAAGCCAGAAAGTTTATTTTAATAACAGTAGTGATAAAAAACTTCTGTCAAAGTATTAGAAGCTGCTAGTATGACAAGCATTATCTGGAAATACTCTCTTTGATTAAAGTACTTGCAAATATAAAATATTTTTTTTCTTTCGAACTTTTGGCCTTTTTTTTGACAAAAAGTAGAAAATTTGGCATACCTTTTTCAAAAGATCAATATTGTTTATCACTTTCATATCAGGAAACTATATAACGACAAAATAGCACATATAAAATAAACAGTACTAGCAAATATTAGTAACTAGCAGATACTCTGATTGGATATCTTACATGTCAGGTTGTTTAAAGCATACAAACATATGAAGTTGCCAAATAGTAATATGTAGAGTTTAAAGTTTTTATACTTTTGAATAATAATATAAATTTAACTAGAAGAGTCAAGAAAAGTGGAATGAGATATACAAGCATCCTGTAGTCATTTGTATATAATTTTTTAGCTTTTAGCACAAGTTATAATATATTTGTTTTTCTTTTTTATATCAAGATTAGGAACTAGACTCATGATAACTCGTGACTCACAAGTTAAACTCAGAAGAGTATTCGAATACATTCGAATCATGTGATCGAATTATTTTTTCAAGTTTTATTCAAGTTACTCGAGTCAAAATATTATTTATTATAAATTATAAATGTATTTTAAAAATATACTAGTTATATTTTATATTAGAGATATTATTCTTTATTTATAAAAGCAAATATCTCAAATTACAAGTTGTAACACAAATATATAGCAAATTAATTATTCATTATTTGAAAATATTATATCGAATAAATCCATATTTCTTTTTAAAAATAACATCTCACTCACTAATTCCAGATCAAGATTTGTGTGATTTGGTGTAATATTGTTTTTAATATCTAAAAATAATCATTCAGATGAGACTAAAGTTGCTGATACGCACAAATATTTCTGTGCAATTTTTAATAATATAGGAAACCGTTCTTTTTTAAGATTCTACCATTGAAAAGTATCTATCCGTCTCCCTTTCTCTTCTAAAGCTAAGTAATCATCAATTTTACTAATTTTATTATTTTCATCAGCATATAAATCTAATAAAATTGATTTTTATTTTTTTGAAATTCTACTAGCTTCAAAATTATCATGATCATCATGCTAAATATTTGACAAAGAAGTTGGACGTTTAGGAGTTGGATGAATTTTATATTCTAATTTATACAAACTTTTTAAGTATTTTTTAGTTTGTATAATCACATTTGTGTTAACAAAATATAGCTTTTTAAAACGTGAATCAAGTAAACATGCCGACGTCTATAACAGAATTCTAATAATGATACATACTATTATACAATACTTTTTTTAATCTTCTCAAGCATTCCAATTGTAATCATTAGAACTGAGATGTTAATTGTTTTGTGTATAATTCCTAATAAAGCGTCAACTTCTTTAATTTCAACAACATCTTTCATATCGTCGATGATTTCTTCCACAGAATTAAGAATTGTTAATTCACCCATATCCGCTGAAGCTGATTCAATATAAGATTGTTGTAATGATAGTTTTAAAGTTTTTACTAATGTTAAAATAGCTAGATACATTAAAAAAATTATTACATAAATATTTCTACTTAGTAATGTCGTTATTTCTTCAAAACTACAATATATCATTCAATTCGTCTAAAAAAATTTATTCATCATTATCGCTAAGCATAATACATGCTAATCGTTCACTATCCTTTTGTACAAGCATACTTTCATATGATTGAAGCCATGATGAAAGGTATACTATTGCCCTTTTTAAATAAAAAAGTCTTTTTCATGCGTAAAATGACGAATTCTATCGTGTGAAAATATCTTTAATGGTTGATAAACATTTTTTAAACCCAAGGTCTCTTTGTGCGGTAAGGAGGTATTCGGTTTGCTTAGATGAATTATTAAAAAAATCGATCAATCATTTTATACATAAAACCAAATACCTAATCACGTTTAACTCTTTCCCAACAAACAATTGAAGCACATGAGCTGCGCAAGGGATCCTATCAAGTTCTAATAGTCGGGCGGCCTTTTTTACATTTGACCTATTGTCAGTAGTTATCACTATCATTTTGTTAATTAAACCCTATTCAACCAATACATCATCCAACAGTTTAGCAATAACTTTACCCATATAGAACATGTTGTAAAACAAGTAGTACTTCTTTGAATTCCCAGGAATCAGAAATCTAAGCATATATGATTCTAATATATCCCTGGTTACAACGACTTGTCCAAAAATCTATTATTATAGACACAGCAACATTCTCTTTTTCTATTAAATTTGTTAATTGTTTTTTATTCCAAGAAAATGATTTGCTAATAAAAGTTTTTATAGTTTTATTACAGAGAATTGAAAAATTTTCATCAAGCAAATATAGTAATTTTCAAAAGCTTTTATATTTCACTATATTAAATGGCTGTGAGTTATTGATAATAAATGAAATTAAATTCTGCTGTATCAATTCATACTCATCCTCAGTTCTATTAAATTGATTTTTAATAGATTGGCAAGAATTATTTTTCAATATCCTATGCTGACAAGCGAGATAGTTAATCAAATTTGAAGTTGTTAAGCTGTCATTATATAAGATACTGCATTTCTTTCTATTATTCAATATAACTTTACAGATCGCAGTCATACCATTATTATCCGTCAAAGTAGTCTCAGATGAAACTTTTAGGGTGACCTTTAGACTGATTAGTAGTTGTACTTTCTTTATACAATTCTTTGTGTTCACTATATTCACTGTCACTTTCATTTTGTACCATATTTGTATAGATAAATTGCAAGAGTTATTATTAAAATTTGTGATTGCAATACTTTATTAAAATTTTTTTTTTTTTTTTGGTGTTAAGGTGAGGCCTTGCTATATCTTTATTAATAATTTTTAAAATAGTTATAATATAAATTACTACAGCGCAGTTACCAAGGCTTCCACTTGTGGTCAGGGCTAACCATTAAACCACTATATGTAGAGATTTACAATGCTACTACTATTT